GAAGCTAAAATTCCTTCTCTGAACCCTTCCCCCTAAATTGATGATGAGAGTTATACCACTGGAAAATTTGTATCCTTCTGAGAGGTAAGCTGCATCTCATAGAAAAGCTACAGAAGTTGACAGAAAAGCAGATAGATCTTGGGACCAAAGTATGCAGGAGGTTCAGCTAGATAATAATGAACAATTCCTTCTGCTCTTAATATGTCTTTCTGAATTTAAGAATCTATAAATCTACAAAGATGAATAAGGTTAACAGAATCTGCTCCTCAGTCATATATATTTTAACATTTAATTACATTTCCATTTGGGGATTGTAATTCAGTTCTCTGAATATCTTAAACTTTTCTGCTGATCCCAGAAATAGTCTTTCATATTCTCATAATTAAACCTTGAACCAAATTGAAGCTCCTCAGCTTAAGACTGTGAACTGTTATGATAATTTAAATAAACATCATTTTAGCATTCTTTGTTGCAGCTACAACAGCAGTGGCACAGCATAAAAAGCTTTAATAGCTATTATAGTCCTTGAACTATACAAGCTTATGGTTCTATGTTGATCGTTCTTGATATGCTCTGTCTTGATTTGCTCTTATTCCATTCTGTTTCTACAGGTCGGTGTGACTTTAATCAAGGAAAAAAATCTAATGAATACCAATTTGAAATATAGCATTTGGAAAGGTCAAAATGGTACGTTACATCCTTATTATCCAAAAGAACAGATGAGTGTAATATCCTGACAGCATTTTCCTGTGAAGAAGATATTAAACAAGAACTGAAAATGGCACAAGGTTCCTTCTTTCTTTCTTTCTTCTGACAAAGATTGTAATGAGATGATGAAACTGTACAAAATAAATCTCTTCCTGCTTTAATGTTCAGACTGTGGATCCTACCTAGATTTCAAAAATGTAAGCTAATCAAAGAGCCCATACACATGCTATTCTTTTCAAGTATATCCATATGAAGTAGAAGTCTTTTACAATACATTTTCCAACTTATATGACCCAGTTTACATGAATATTTTCTAATCTGAACAATGGGAAGAAATGGTAACAGAAGGCACACAGCGCAGTAAGTTTTGACAAATACTAACTGTGGTAAACTATAATAAATAATGCACTGCATGATCACTGCTCAAAATGTAGATTTTTCTACTTCCATTTGAATAGACATTAGAGCACAGATAGTATACTCCAATGCAAGGCACATCATTACATATATTCTACTATGGAGAGCCTCTGAAGTATGGAACTATTTGAAGGTAAAAGAATTTGTAGTATATGCAATAGGAAACTGATTAATGCATTGAACTACCTCAGTTTGCTTACTTAAATCATTATCTCCATGATCACTCTTCCTTCGGTTCTGTAGCTCTGAGGAAAGAAAAAAAAAACTTTTGGAACTTGAGATGTTATAGTTTAGCACTAAACTACACCATCAGGATCCTCATATTAAATCTGATCATGACAACCCAAGAAATGCTGTGGTTAAAAATAAAAAAAGGGTATATGAAATACACATTTATTGGTTTTTTGTATTCATTCCACATGAGATATGAGGAGTTTGCTTTTACATAAGAATATAACAATTTAGATATTAAAGATATTATTAAAGAAAACACTTGACATTATTCCAAAAGATACCTATCTTCAGCTATTGTTAGCTGAAATAGAACTATGTGTATCTGCTCAAGAACTCACAAGAAGAAATCAGATGGAACCTCTCATTTTTTGCACCAATTAGGGAATATATCTGAGAAAAACTATCTCCATGGTACATTTCATGCAGCATCATGCTGGGAAAAGCCGTTTTGTTCTGATGAAGAGAGATAAAATGAGCATATCCAAAATATGTTTTCACTATTGTGAGTGAAAAAAAAAGGTATATTTGCTTTATTTTTCTTCTTTTCCTTAGGTGATTTTATTTTCCATTGGAAATTGCAAATGTATTTTTAATCCTTTGTTTTGCAGCTATACTGTAGGATAGCTTTTTTCAATGCATTGAGAATATGCAACCTATTTTGAAACTTCAAAGGTTTTGCAAAAAGCAATAGACAAAAATCCCTAATGGGTGTTCATTTCATAAGTGCCTACAGAAATTAAAGTTTTCCTTGTGTCTAGCAAAAGTCTACTACATACAATTTAAAGTTTGTTTCTATCTAGTTCCTTGTGATTTAGTTGATATACCTTGAAACTAAAATGACTACAAATAACTCTTTTCTGCTTCCTAGCTGGATATGTCAGCCATCCAGTATGCTGCCTGTACAAAATAATAAGAAAAACTCTTTTTTTCAGTTACTAATTATTATTTACAGTAGAAATTATTTGATTTTTTATCATTTGTATTAAAAAGAGGTCTGACTTTTGCTACTAAGAAATAAAATATATGCTGTTGTATTCATTTAAAAAAATCTGGATTAGGGAATGATTGAGTACAGAATTCAGGGTACTGAGGGGAGGCTCAGTGTGTAGTCACACAAACAGCTGCATCAGTTCCTAATTCTTAGGGACTGAATCCAAAATATCAGCTGAAAACAGTGGTTATCTCTTTTCAGTTCCAATTTCATGATCATGCAATATGCTGTTACTATGTCACACACTACTTAGCATGGGAAATACCTAGAACCCATTGTGCAACTTTATCTAGTCATTTCAAGAAATGGATCTTTTTTCCAGTCAGTGATCACAGTAATTCTGTTTTGAAAAATTACCAAAATAATCAAGTACATCTTGTGAACTAGTACACTGGTTTGCAGTGAAACTGCAAAAGGCACCTACTTTCCTCTCTTATCTTCAATAAATCATGTGATGGTTGGGCGTTTCCATGGAGTTTCTCTTTAATGAGGTTGGGGAAGGATATAAACTGAATATAAAATATTGGACCTGTGAACCCATAAGAGTCATGTCTAAAAGCAAAGACTCACATGATCCTCTATGAAGTATATTGATTAAGTAACAACAGATGAAAAAGGAGGTGCAAGATAGGAAATGTTTTGTGTTAAGGCAAGACCATAAAACAGATGAACCAAAACACAACTGACCATGTGCATCACACACACGTATGCATACATGTCTATTTTGCATCTGCATATGAGAAGCTTCTTTTGTGCTGCAAAGTGTAATGATGCATGTAGATGACATATTTTCCAGAAATGACATTAAAAGGTGCTTGTATGCAAACCTACACACATTAAAATATAGTACGTGTCTATTGCAAACACTGATTTATACATATCTCTGTGTTCATCAAGCTGGAATTATGCAGAAGGTCAGATAGGTTTGTAATTACCCAATCTGCACTTCCAAATGCTGTTAAAAGGCTATGTAAATACATTTTTGCAAGTGTGCTCATTGTACCTGCAGCTCAAAATCTGGCTATACTTGCATTTGAATTTGTTTTGTTTTGTCATCGATGCTATTTTGTATAATAGGGATACATAATACGTAAGCTAGAAAACACACTAAAAATCAAAGGAAAGAAGTCAGTTGCATTATTAAAGTGAGATTAAAATAATTTGACATGAAAGGCATTTTAGAGACAGTACAGCTTGTCTCATTTAGTGATGTGCGCAGAAGCTAATATATCATTCAGCCTTGCTACCACCTGACAGCTGCTCAGCATCTAATGGGAAATGTGATGGTGGTCACAGTCCACTTCATAGTGGACAGGTGTCGACATCACAAAAATCATCATCACAACTGGCACTAATTGGCACCTTTGTTGACAGTCTCAGCAGAGAGGCCAGTGATTGAATCGGCATGGAGGCTGCCTTGCAAGCTCCACTGGTGAGGGACGCCAGGCTCAGCTCTTTCTTCACTGAAATCTTTCATAGTTTTGCACACATTTCAAAGGAACGCAGTCAGGTCCTGACACTTCTTATTTGTCTGCAGATTCTAGCAGCATGCTCGTTGCTTTAACATACTTCCAGAAGTAATGCCTCCCTGCAACGGGTTAGACACATCTTGGGAACGCTGAAGCCTGCCCACTGCTGCTGGCCAGCAGAAGAGACAGTGCAGCTGGGGCTTTGCATGGAAGAAGAACAAAGGCAATGAAACACAGCTGACAGTGATGCAGAGGCGAAGCCACCCACATCCAACACAGGCCTTCAGTCTGCCCCAGTCTTCTCTCATTTTTAATTGATTTTAGATACAACTGTGAATTTGTAGACTTCTAGCAACCACTTTACTCCTCTGTGCTTCAAGTCATTCCCTTGTATGATGGGCATAATATTTGTCTCACTCTATTTCTAAGGTATATTATGAGGTTTTCTAACTAAGAAATATCTTAAAGTATTTTAATACCTCGGGTGGAAGGGAAGAGGAGAGGAAGGATGGAGATAGGAGAAAAGAAAGAGCAATTTTGATTTCATGTATGTGGAAAAAAAATTAACTGTTGCACAAGACCACGTTAGTATATAGACAAAAGTGAGAAAATTTTAAAATGGATGTATAAAGTAAGGTAAAATATATCATAAAAGGTTGAAAAAATAACATAAAAAGTTTGAGGTTTATCTGACTGTGTCAGTGTACCTGAAGACTATTTCTCATTAGAGATAATAAGAGCATAACACTACATGAGCAATTACAGTGACTCGGAACAGTCACTGAGCCAGATTCTGATCTCTCCCTGCTGTATTATGTCCGATTTCAGTGAAATGTCTTCTCATTTACATGCATCTACATAGATTTGGGATCAAGCCACCAGCTTTTGCTTCTTCCAGTGTTAATAATGAGCAGTGGCTGCTGTAGTCTGTTCCTAAAGACACCCTGGAAAAAGAATCTGTCATCGTTAGCCTAATGAGGGGAAAGAGGGAGAGAGAATGCTAAATGTTTTCTCTCTAGCCCAATTAAAGGAGAGAGAGAAAGATAGAGAGAGGGGGGGAGGCATGCTAGGAGGAGATCTGTATACGTGACTGATTTCTTCTAGCCTTTAGCTACCGGAGGAGTCTCGCTAGGTAGAACTGAAAAAGACAGGAAGATGTAGTAGCACACAGGATAAATCCTTCTGCTGAAATCAGACTAAGGCAGCATGGACCATCAGTCTGAGCTGCACGTTAATTTTCAAAAAATAGCTTGTCTGGGAAGGTAAGAAGACTATTCTGAAGTACTGTATTGTCATAAGGTGTCTTGAGACAAATTATCTGAGTACAAATGAAGGTGCAAGGCCTGACTGCTTGCCGAGGACTCACTTCAGCCATCCACAGTCCCCTTTCAGGACTGCTCTGAATAGAGAGACCTGCATGTGTATGAAGGACTTTACCAATCCAGACTTTGCTGAGTTAGCTGACAAGTGCCAACTCACTGTTTATAAAACAAGCAGAACTTGGTGCCATGAAGTTTTGTATCAGGTAGCTGATCTTAAAGTGTAAGAAAGATTAGAGAAGGTCAAGGTGCACAGCAAAATTCTGGGAGTGAGAGAACAGAGACGGGGAGGAATGGGAAGAAGCGTTCCCACTATCTAATTTTAGGCATCTAATTTAGGTATCTGAAGTCAGGAACCTGTGGCCTCAGTGGACCTGGCAGACTTATCTATTCTCAGAAATAAAGTAGGCTGGGAACCACTCTCTGGCCCTAGTGAGGAAGGTGTGAGTTTCCTTGTCTTCAGACCAGCTACCAGCCCCTGATGGGAGTCCAGGATTACGTCCCACACTGTTCTCATGGCCCTGAATGATGGCTAGAGCCAAGCAGAGAGTAGAAGACATTATCTTGCATCACTGTTTATATCTAATGCTCTGACTCTGAGTGATAACAAGCAAACTTGATGTGCCTGGCCTAATCCACTCCCCAGCTATTGCTGTATTCATGTTGTTTATTTCACATGTCCCCATATTTCTTTACTTTCCTCCTAAGAGGTAGCAGCTTTGTGTGCTAAGCTACACTTGCCTTTTTACCGTTTCAAATGCCAGAAGCTTTAGCTAGGAAAAATGATTTTGTAAATACTTGCTTTGCTGTGCCAGTCCTACATACTGCATTTTCTCCCAACAACGAAAAAGTAAGAGAGGAAGCTCTAGAGAAAGAGTTGCGCTAACAGGCTCTTGTTATTTTATTTTATTTTTTTAATCTGTGACTCTTGAAGACGTACTTTGAGTCGCAGTCCTGGGAGACCTCCTGGCTTGCTCAATCAACAAGCCATGACTGCCTTAGATTTTTTTTTTTTTCTCTGCAATGAGGCTTATTTTCTTTATTCACTACTTAACTCCAGACAGAACCACGGGATATTTTCCCAAGCCTTCCAGTAAAGAATGCAGCACTGGAATAGCTTCATGAACTACATGTTTTTGGCACAACAAAAGATGATGAAAACAGAAGCCTGTTATGGAAAGAAGGATAAGACTGCCAGTAAGACTAGCAATAGCCCAGACTCATTGAAGTGAGCCCAACTCAGCCCTATTTTTTCAATGGCAAATAAACAGGATGTGAGAGAAGACCATGACTAGGGTCTAGGTGCTGTGAATCTCCCTCTGACATTTTCAAATTATCCACTCTGTTCCTAGGTGTTTATGTATTATAAATGTGCTAGTTAACCATGATAATGTCACGAGA